GGTGGGGAACAGCAGGGGACAAGGGCAGGGAGCAGGGGACGGGGGAAACCATGGCACAGGGGACAGTGGGGAACAGCAGGGGACAAGGGCAGGGAGCAGGGGACGGGGGAAACCATGGCACAGGGGACAGTGGGGAACAGCAGGGGACAAGGGCAGGGAGCTGGGGATAGCAAGGAACACGAGGGCACAAGGGCAGGGAGCGGGGCACAGGGTCACCCAAGGGATAGGGGACAGTGGGGAGCAGCAGGGGACAAGGACAGGGAGCAGCAAGGGAAAAAGGCAAGGCCCAGGGAACGAGAGGGAGCACCAGGAGACAAGGACAGGGAACAGCAGGGAAAAGTTAGGAAGCAGGGGACAGTAGCACCCAAGGGACACGGGACAGTGAGAAGCACCAAGGGACAGGTGCCCCAAAGGGACAGTGGGGAACCAGGAGACAAGGGCACCCAAGAGACACGGGACAAAGGGGAGCACCGTGGGACAAGGACAAGGTGCAGGGGCACCCAAGGGACAACAGAGCACACCGGAGGGCACGGGCAGCGGGCAGGGGATTGTCCCCCAAGAACCAGGGCGGGCCGGTGCCCCGGTGCCACGGGCAGGGTGACAGTGCCCCGGGGGGGCAGGGACACTCACAGCCACCACGGTGCCGCGGCGGGGGTCGATGACACGGACGCTCTTGTCCTTGCAGGCGGTGCAGAAGCGGGAGCCGTCGCGGCTCCAGCTGACGCTGTAGATGAGGTCGGGGTGCAGCCCCTCCAGCCGGTACAGCTCCTCCGCCGTGCCCACGTTCCAGATCAGCACCACGTTGTCACAGCCTGGGGGGCACCACGGGGGTCACCCGGGCCGTGTGACCCCCCCCCGTCCCCGCGGCCCCGCCGTGGCCCCCCCGTACCTGCGCTGAGCAGCACGTTGCGGGCCGTGGGGTGCCAGGTGACGATGCCGACGCGCTTGGAGTGGCCCTCCAGGACCACCACCGGCTCCGTCAGCGGCTGGCTCAGTCCGTTCTCCGGGATCTGCCACACCTGAGGGGACGTGGGGCACACTGAGCAAAGCGGGGGCGGGCACAGGGCCGCCCCCCCGGGTGCCCTCGGCACCCCCTCACCATGACGGTGCAGTCCTCGGAGCCGCTGGCGATGACGTGGTCGTTGTGGGGGCACCAGTCGATGTCGAGGACGGGGCCCGTGTGGCCGCACACGGTGGGGTACGACTTGTCGATGCGGCCGGTCTGGGGGCAAAGGGACATCGAGGGGTGTCACCCGCCAGCACAGACCACCCCCCCCCAGTTCCCCGGCGGCACCCCCCCGGCGTCACCTTGTGCAGGGGGAGGACGAGGAAGGCGCCGCCGCCGCTGGCCTCCACGATGATGGCGACAAAGGAGGGGTTGACGGCGCAGAAGGTGCTGTCCCAGGTGACGCGGGACACGCGGATGTCATCGTAGCACTGCTCCGTCTTCACCGGCTGCCCGAACACGTGCCGGAATTTGCTCTGCCGCACCACCTTCCGGAACGACATGGCTGGGGAGGCACCCCCGGGGCCACGCTCAGGCACGTGGGGACACCCCAAAACAAGGGGCAGGGCCACCGGGGAAGTGGCACCTGCTCCGGGCTCGTCGCTGTCCTCTGCCCTGGGTAAAGGGCGGCTCAGCCGCTCCCGGGACACACACCCCACACCCCCACCTCCCTGCCCGGCCCCCTGGGGGAGGGCTGAGGGGGCACCCCTGCAATGGGGGCTCTGAGGGGGACAGGGAATGTCCCACCCGGGATGGGGACAGGCATAGGGACAAGGATGTCCCCCTGGGTAGAGGGGTGGGGATAGAAAGGGGGACAGGGACAGCCCAGTGGGTCAGGGGACAGGGATGG